CAGGGGTCTACCAAACTTCGACCCCAAGATGGTCGAAGCCGAAATCAACCGGTACAAGCTAGCCCCAATCGCTGTCTTCCGAATGACAAGGAGAGACGAAAACGTGAAGACGTACCCGGATTGTCTTTTCCTGGTGCACTTCCAGAAAGGGACGGTGACGCTCAATGCGCTACAAGCCATCCGATCAATCTGCTCCATCAACGTACGGTGGGAGCCATACCGTGGCGGCCATCGTGACGTAACGCAGTGTATGAGGTGCCTCAATTTTGGACACGGTACCCACAACTGCAACATCAAGCCACGCTGCAGCAACTGCGCTCAAGAACACGCCACTTCCAACTGCCCTGCGGATGGAGCCGTTGCGATAAAATGCGCTAACTGTGGTGGTGCACATCAAGGTTCCGACAGACAGTGCTCCAAACGCGAGGACTTCAAACGCATCCGAAAGCAGGCGTCAAGCAACAATCAACCAGGACGCAAGAAGGACAAAACCCCATCATTCAGGACGGAGGATTTTCCGTCTCTTCGTGCTCCCCAGCAAAGGCAAGCGAATTCGCGGGTGCAACCCGCCCCCCCTCAAGAAGCTTCCGGTGATTTTGCTGGCCAAAGCTCTCCATCCCCCCCTGGATTCTGGAGACAACCAACAGCGCAAAACAACAACCCCGATCTGTTCTCAGCGGATGAACTGATGGAAATTTTCGTCAACATGTCCGGTGCTCTTCGTAAGTGCCGCAATAAGCCCGAACAGATCCAGGTGCTCGGTAAGTTCATCATCCAGTATGGCGTCTAAACCGCTAACTATCGTCACCTGGAATGCTTGCTCTGTAAGAGCAAAAGAGATTGAGCTTGCCGACTTCCTCCGCAAGCACAGCATCGACGTGGGCCTTCTAACCGAGACCCATCTAAAGTCCGGCGACAGCTTCTGGTTGCCTGACCACAACATTATCCGGCTTGATCGCACCAGCTCCAGGGGGGGTGGTGTTGCGGTCGTCGTCAAGAAAGGAATAAAATACCACACTCTGTCCCATATCCGCACCTCTATCATCGAGGCCCTTGGTGTGGAGGTGGAGTCGTCGACTGGATACGTCCAGTTCATCGCCGTCTACTGCCCTCGACAGTGTGCCGCCAGCAGTGGACTAGCGGCTAAATTTAAGAAGGACCTGTCCACCATCACCCGTACCGGTTCCCGCTTCGTTGTTGGAGGAGATCTGAATGCTCGTCATGAGGCATGGCGGAACTACCAGCAGAACCAGAACGGTCGTCTGCTGTTCGACCATTCGCAGCATGGGCTGTACTCCGTTTGGTTCTCGGACGAGCCAACATTCATCTCACCGGCAGGCAACCCATCGACGCTAGACCTGTTTCTTTCAAATACCGGCTTGTCCAAGCCGGTAGCCTTAAACGAACTCAGCTCCGACCATCAACCGGTGGTGGCTGAACTGGGATACAACGTAGCTGCTGCTCCAAGCCTGCGCAAGGACTACCATCGCGTAAACTGGGCCCAGTTTGGACGCGTGGTAGACAGGCACATCATCGACAACCCGCCGCTTGACTCCGTGGAGGACATCGACCGAGCGTTGGAAGTACTCCACCAAGCCATAACCGTGGCTGACGAGGCGTGCGTCCGACGAGTTCCTGTTAGGGGTAAGTTTATTGCTATTGATTCCCACACCCAACTCTTAATTCGCCTGAGAAATGTTCGTAGACGCCAGTTTCAGAGAACTGGAGATCTAGCGAGGAAACGTGAAATGGCCAATCTGAACAAGGAGATTGCTTCCAGAATGGTCTCACTCCGGAACGAAAGTTTCGGGCGGCTTGTCCAGAATCTGGACGACCGCTCCAGACCATTCTGGAAAGTTGCCAAGGTCTTAAAGACGCACCCTAAACCCATTCCGCCTCTAAAAGATGAAAATGATGACGATCGGCTCATAATCACCCCTCAGGAGAAAGCAAATGCGATTGGTGAGCATATTGCCAAATCGCACTTGCTTGGCTCCAACATCCAAAGTCCGCTCGAAGTTCAGGTTGAGCAATGCGTACTCAACCTTGATTCCTCCCCTTGTGCCATCCCTCCGGAGGATAGAATCACAGTGGAACAGATTTGCTCAGCGCTGAAATGCACCAAAAACATGAAGGCCCCCGGGTTTGATGGAATATTCAACCTAGTGTTGAAAAATCTCAGCATGAAGGTTCACTCTCTGCTGGCTGCTGTCTTCAACAGATGCTTGGAACTGCACTACTTTCCAAGTATCTGGAAGACAGCGAAAATCATACCTATCCGCAAACCCGGGAAGGACCCAACGCCAGCTTCAAGCTACAGACCAATCAGCCTCCTTTCAGCGCTGAGCAAATTGTTCGAGAAACTCATTCTCAATTGTTTGCTCAAGTTTGTCGAGGAAAATAACATTCTCCTTCCGGAACAGTTTGGATTCAGAAAGGGGCACTCCACCAATCACCAGCTAGTGCGGGTGATGAATAACATCCGAAGTAACAAAGCTGTATCCAAGTCCACAGCCATGGCATTGTTAGACGTTGAGAAAGCGTTTGATAATGTCTGGCACAATGGGCTTGTATACAAGCTTTGTAACTTCAACTTTCCTTTACATCTTATTAAAATCACCCGTAACTACCTCCAGCAAAGGTCGTTTAAGGTATCGTTGAATGGTTGTCTTTCCGACACGTTTTCCATCCCAGCAGGAGTCCCGCAAGGCAGTCTGCTGGGACCCTTGCTTTACAGCATTTACACTTCCGACATTCCTCCTCTTGGAGACGGTTGCGTGTTTTTCCTGTTCGCAGATGATACCGCAATAGCCGTCAAAGGAAGGATGCCTCGCGAAATAACGAACAAACTTCAACGATGCCTTAACGCCTTTGCTGATTATGCCACCACGTGGAAAATCAAAATCAATGCTTCCAAAACACAAATAATCATGTTCCTCCATCGGCAATCACCCAAACTAAAACCGGCTCCCTCTTGTACTGTAATCATGGATGGCACAAGGGTTGAGTGGTCCGCCGAAGTAACCTATCTCGGGATGTTGTTTGACGAAAAGCTCCTATTCCGCTCGCATGTGGAGAAAACCGTAGTCAAGTGTTCCGCCTTGGTTAGGAGTCTGTATCCGCTGATTTGCCGTAGATCCCGCCTCTCAAGGGTGAACAAACTGGCCGTCTACAAACAAATCGTAGCACCTGCGATCCTCTACGCAGCTCCGGTGTGGGAATCATGTGCACAGACTCACAGGAACAAAATTCAGGTAGCTCAGAATAGAGTGCTGAGGATGGTTCTTGATCGTCCTTTCGACACTAGAATAACAAATTTACATGAAGAGGCAGGCATTGCCAAAATAGATTCCAAAATTAACGAAATTAAGACTAAATTTACACAAAAATGTAATTTATCAGAACATGCTTTGATAAGCAATTTGTATATAGTAGGTTAGGTGTACATAGTAGTTGTAGGTTAGTTGTAGTTGTAAATAGTAGTTATAAGTAGTCTCCTTTTTCCAATTCAAATCAAACCAATCCCACCAAGGTGGTCATACTTTAAAATAGGCCTGATAGGACTAGGAACTGTAAATAATAATTAAAATCTCAAATGTACCAAAGTTGAAAAGACGCATCTGTGTCACTTAACAAATTCATACATGTAAACCACACAATCACAAGAAATAAAGATCATTTAAATGGCAAAGCATCAACTCATTTTCGCTTCAGCAGCAGTAGGAAGGTGGTGGCTAGTGAACCCGTCTACATTCAATAAGCACCAATAGACTGGTCGCGGCAAAGAAGGAAAGGGTCTTGGTCAAAGAGGCACCAAGCGTCATCGCAAAGTTCTTCGAGATAACCGCCATCCGTCATCTGGCTCGCCGTGGTGGTGTTAAACGAATCTCCGATCTGATCTACGAGGTGTGCTGAAGGTGTTCCTGGAAAATGAGATCCGTGATGCTGTCACCTACACGAAACACGCCAATCGTAAGCGGCCATGGATGTCGTCTACAATAAAACGGCCCTTTTCAGGGCCATCAAGCTTATAACAGTAAAGAGTTGGAATAGAATTTATCTGTGCCTGTTTGTCCATATTCAGAACCACAGGCCCTCAACGACCATACAAACTGCTCTCCAGAGTTGTAATCTTGTAACCAAACCTGGAAGTGATTTTGATTGATACTCTTCATTAACTGTCTCTTTGAAAAAAAAAAACTGTAAATTTGATACGCTTACAAATCAAAAACAGGAAGAGTTTATATGAAAAGAACTAAATGCTCTTCACATTTGTTCCGTCCACTAGCGGTCCTACGTTTGTGCCCCTAGGCACAGACCCTTCTACTTTTTAGTTCGCACACGGCGACGGCTGAACGAGCGTCAAGCAAAGAACAAAGGTACCAAACGAATACCTTGAATGAGTGAACAACTACCTATCGATAAAGACTTCGACTCACAGTGGTAAGCAAACTGAGATTTGACTCTTGTTACGCATTGATTTAATGTGTCGTATGATGGGTTTTGATCCTTGAAAGGAACTGGAAACTACCAAAGTTGTAACCGGAACATATTCGGTTGTGTATAATGTCATCCTGGGCTCTTGCTATAACCACCATTGCACTTGTTTTTGAATTAACATGTGATTTGAGGTGTCGCATGATGGGTTTTGGTCCAAGTCAGAACATGTCCGGATGTGGTCAATTTGGTCCTGGATCCTCAATATGACCACCATTGACTGATCTTTTTGTTGAATTCTCATGTGATTTAAGTCTGAGACTACGACTACGACTTCGAAGTTGCGTGGGTGCAGTTCGTCGTAGATTATCCTCTCGCAACTCAGGAAGCCGAGCTATTTTCAGTTCCATGTTCCAGGATTTAGGCGCCAGCTTTACAATCTTCATATACTTCGAACCAGGTTCGATTATACTTTACAACGTACTTGTCAGAATCCAATCAAATCGGCAAACACTCCAAAAAAAATGGGACTGGTCATCACAATAAAACCCCTTTTCCTTACCTTATTCATTCCAAGAGAGAGTACTCTGTATTGATGCGATATCACTTATGGACTTAAAACTAGCTCTCCTTTGGGCCTTCTGTCCGATGTCTGACTCTTCACTCACTAGAACATTGATTAAATAAAAAAAAAATGTGAATACAAAAAAAGACCTACCTTTCTCGTAATAAGTGTAATAATTAGGGTTGTCACTAGAATCGCTACTCACTGATTCCCGTTTGCGTTACTCTTGAATTGGTACTAACAATATTCCAATCTACTGGTAAATCGTTTCTGATAATTTATTTGTATTTTTTTTTAATTCATTTTGTTGAAAGGCAACCTTACTACTCCTCTCTATGCTGGTTGGCTTCCTTTCTCGTGAATTACATTTCTAATAAGGAGTAATGCATAAATTATGGACTCATCTGTTCTGTTCTAACATTTAACTTCGATTTTCCTTTTTTTAATTTGGCTAAAAGGTATAAATGTCACGGTTTGTATTTTTTTTCTGTATGAGTGTTTGTGTGTGTGTCTGCTTTTTGGGATTACAAATTCGAATCACTAAGATCTCATTTCATCGCCTTCGCCTGACAGTTTGTTGTCAGTAGTCGATTCTATCTAAACTAGTACAAAAATCTGTTTTCCGCATTTGTGCCTTTTTGCTGCGCCTTCTTTCATCTACTTGCAGTCTTATTTTTCTTCTTCTGTTTGTTCTTCGCTGCCGTGCCGGAAGTAAATGTAGTCGATTTCTATTAAATAAATACAATTTTACATTTGTTTGTTTGTTAGTTTGTATCTAGGTATTCTACGTTCCCGGATTTGTCAGTTTTGTTTAATCGTCATTCCACTAGCTGCGCGGGTGTGCTCCGTTTCAAACGGAACCGGATTGTATATTCTATTGTTTTATTTTTTTGTTTCACTACTGTTACCGTACGTACGATTTTTCTTGCTGTGATTGTTTTCAACGTTGTTTACCGCTGTTGACTAACGATGCCCTGGAAAACGAACAGTACGATCGAACACATGGATTGCAAAGGTACGATTTTGGACTTCGAAGACCAATTACATGATGAGGTGCTCAAGAGAATGTTAGCCGCTCACCACGAGTTCGGATTGACGACTATGGGCGATAGATGGTAAATCGAGTCGAGTGTCACTTCTGGTCACTAATTCTGAAATACCAACCAGTGTCGCCAGATATACCGATACATCGGTATTTGTACCGATTTTCGATCTTGATACCGATAAACAGAATACCGATTTTTGAGATTTTATACCAATTTATAAATGGAAATGTTGACTTCGGCAATACCTTAACCTATTATCGTCAGGGGGTAAACAAAGTCCTAGAGTACTCAAATTTGGCCAATAGATGCTCTGAAACACAATGTATCCTCATGCCAAAATTGAGTTCTCAAGGACGTTGTTTACCCCCCTGACGATAATTGGTAAAGGTAAATCACTAATTATGGCATGCCTGATCTCAAATTTCATAGAACATTGGGAGAGAGTTGGCTCTGTTTCAATATGCCTAAATTATTCATCTTTAAAAATGTATTATACTCTTTCGACTAGGGTTTCCATTTTCAAGCCGTTTTTGGCTACCCAGAAATCGAAAAACAGCTGAAGGCTCATCCCGGTAATACCAGGGAATCGAGAAATACTTTTATATTTTATGTGACTAAAAAGGACCATCAATATACATTTTTTAACTTTCCAGCAATCCAACTTGTCGCCCTTTTTGTAGATTGTACATGCAACACCTTCCATCAACTCTTTCGGTAATATGTCCTCCTCCCAAATCTTGGCAATAACCCAGTCAGTGCTTCATCACCGTATTTTAATAGCTCACTTGGTAGTTGATGTACACCAGGTGCTTTGTTGTTCTTCAGCCGACCGATCTCCTCCTCAACTTCTTGAAGATCAAGAACAGGTAGCCTGTCATCTTCTGCGCGTGCTTCAAGGTCTGTTGCCGTGCCACCTTCGTTTTCTGATGCATCACCGTTGAGCTGCTCGTCATAGTACTGCTTCCACCTCTCAATCACCTTACACTCGTTCGCGAGAAGGTTACCGTCCAAGTTCTTACACAAATCAGCTTGCGGGCACGTAGTCTTTGCGCGAACTATTTAGCTTCTCGTAAAATTTCCGTGTACCATTTTTGCATTAGTATAATTGAGTGGTAAGTACAATCATACTCTTATGCCCAGGCACCTTCAGCATGGACTTGCTTTGTAGCTGCGCCTTTACCCACTGAGCTAAGAAAGGCCCCTTCATATGCCACAAAGTTTACTAAAATCCGCCCACTTCCAAAAAAGTTGAAAATCAAGGATTCTACTAAAATTGCTCTAGCTTCATACAGGGTCTGCCAATTTAGTCCAAAACTATACTGCCATTATACGCATAAGAGTCCCATGGTACATAAGGATTGCATAGAACATGGCACAGTTATGCGTATAACGGCAGTATACCAATAAATCAATAAGAAGGTGTTCAACCACCAGCGAAGATTTCAAATATCTATCTAGGTATTCAGTGTTTAAAAAAAATCTATTCAGATCTATCTACGCTCAATTTTGCGATACACTGTAATACATAGCCGGTCACAACTTCTGAAACCCCCTCCTCCCCCTCAAAGGCTACCCCTAATGAAAATGTGCATGGTTATTTTGCTTAACGACGTGTTCAGGGTAGCACCCAAACAATTTGTGGAACACAGTCAACTCTCCATATCTCGATATCGAAGTGACCATCGAGATATGGAGAGATCGAGCTATAGAACTAGATTAGCCTACTAGACCGTTTGAAGGGACCGAGATTACCATCGACATATAATAGAAGAAAGTGGTCACATATCGAGATATGGAGAGTTAACTGTAGTTCTAAGTCCTTTAATTCCTACACATTTATTTTTTAAATAATGAGGGCCTCCCGAAAGTTTAGTCAACAAAGGCTCGGCACACAGGAAATGGTGGGCTCGATTTCTCCTGGGCCAGTCACTTATGCAATTCAAATGCATTTTTAGATAGAGCTGGAATTAGGGCGTAACAGCCTTTGTAAACAATGACTTCTATCGATAATTTCTAGAAACTCAAGGCACTCCCACGCAAACCTACAAAACTGTCGGGTAGGGGAATTCTTCCCCTACCCGATGGTGTTGTTTATTTGCATTGGCAAGCCTTAACTTTTTAGAAATCATTGTTTACAAAACCTGTTACGCCCTAATTCCAGCTCTATCTAGATTTAATGACTGGTTTGACATATGAAATGCATTGCAAAGGACGTTCGCCTGATGAAATAATACATTCCAGTTTTCGGACATTTAGGGTACTCTGTATTATTTTGGAGCACCTAATCTAGAGTGAATATTTTAGGCTCAATTTGAGGCTACTTTTGAGCAGTCCATCAAACATCGAAGATCGACGAAAGTTCCACGTCCAAAAAAAAAAACCACCTACGCAATCCATGTTTCGTGAAATGTTGTAACTTATTGTTGATCGCTTAGAAATAAATGCAAATACAATTTATTTCAATCAAACGTTTAAAAGAGCTATTCAAACCACCAGCTACCAGTTTCTCGTCGCTGACTGGTGCCCAAATGCATATAGTTCATCACCCATTCAACACCATCGATCAACAACCTGAATTCAGCCCCCCCCCCCCCCTCCATTTCAATCACAAAACCAAGCAAAACCCTTACGTTTTCGATGGAGTTCCCGTCGAATTTTCCCGCGATCCCGCGCCGGGAGCGGTTTGTGCGAAAAACAGATTCCTTAGAATGTGAGTCCTAGACTTGGGCGGATCATCCGCCTTGTTCGGTGCTGCGCTTTTGTCCCCACTGCTGCTGGTCGTCATTGTCGTCGTCGTCGTCGCCGTCGCAGTGGTCAGTTGTTGCCCCTTTGGTGACTGCGTCAGCGAAGACAACGATTGCTGCTCCTGCTGATCAAGTTCCTCCAGCTCCTGTTCCATACTGACGTTCTCTGGGATGTTGTACGAACCGGTATTGCTATCGATCGAAAGCGTCCGGTGCTGGAGCGCTGCCGATCCCAGCTTTGGAATGCGTGTGCCAAATGCATTGATACGCGGATGTTTGGTACCGGACGCAATGGACGTGCCACTGCCTCCACCTGCGCCACCGCCGCCCGGATTGGTTCCTATCGCGCCGTGGCTGTGATGGCTACTGCAGGTGATGTTGCCAGTGTTGTGCGATGACGACAGGCTGGTCGAATCGAAATCGTCCCGAAATGATCGCTCCGAGCTGCGAAACGAACGGCCACTGCCCAGGCTAGCCTTGTCCGCTGCCGTGTCCTACGCCGGGTGGTAATGTGGTTACAACTGAGAAACTCAACTCGTATAATGCGAACTCACCTGATCCAATGGGACCGTATACCAGATATCACAGGAATCTTTCTTGTTGCCACCGGAACCCGCACTGCCGCCATCGATGACATAACAAACCGTGTTATCAAACCGCACCCGCTCCGAGGCGCCATCTTCGGAAGCACTGAAGCAAGCGGAATCCGTGGCCATCTGCTGAGCCCGGTAGCTGAGTATCGAACCTGCCAGGGCTTTCGTCGAAGCGGTATCATTCAGCGTGTTGCCGGATTTTTCGCTGACGCATGTCACAGCGGACGCCGTTTCCGAAGTGCTGATGTCGGCCTGCACTTCCAAGCGGTGGCTAAAATTGAAATTGGGCTTTTGAAGAAAATGGATTAAAATGTCTGAATGGTGAAAAGTACCCCGTTATACTGCCGGCTAGAGCCGTAGTCGATTCGCGCGTCGACGGATTCGTCACGACGCCAAAGTTCGAATGTTGACTGCTGACACCCAGATGGCTTCCGCTTGCCACGCTCAGACTAACTTCCCCTATGCTGGTGGCCCCGATACGGGACACGGCATCGACACTGGTGGCATCTGTAGAGGAAAAATGGTTCCGTTTAAACATTCAAATCAATGCAACCTGTGACACTAACCATGATTCCGCGATCCGTTGTCCTCTTCTTCGTCGAACTCGAATTTGGTCCCTTCACCGCACCCGGCACGGCACAGCGATACTGGCACGACACCATACACGTAGAACAGCAGAATCGGTACCCCAATTGCGACGGCTAACCCGGCCAACACCGGCGATACGATGACCTGGAATAAGATGGAGAAAAGCAATTTTGTTGAGAATTCACCCCAATATGATTTTCTAACCTAAATATAAAATAATTTATCCCATTCCGAGTTTCATAATCATTTAATCCGAAAACATGTCACCTTATGCGCCTATCTACCAAACAGTGAAGAGATAAACAAAAAGCGAACAGGAGCAACTGGAGGACGATGTTTGCGCTTAGTTTCCATACTGCCTATGCATATTCTGCAAAGCTGCGATAAGCTTCTTTCCTGATGATAAAGCCGATGATGGAAATAGGTCAGCATCGTCGTCGTGAAGAAGAAAACATGGGAGAGGAGTAATTGTGTCAGGGAAAAATTTCCCGAAAATGCGAGTTTCCACGACTACGACGACCACGGTTCTATGTTTAGACTGCAGTGCCTTCTTAGCAAGCAAACATACAATCTTGTGCCAACGTTCATATCGCCCTTAGCAGGTTTGAGATGCTGGTTAGCTGTGCAGAGGAGGGCCTAACATGAATTGCTGGCGCCAGCAGATGTTATCCTGATCACAGGAGAGAAGACGCATGTCGTCGTCGTAAGTACGGTCGTGGATTATTATTATCGTACATCCGCGGCGGCTGGATGGGTGTCCTTGATGTTGAAGATTGCGCTCGTTTGGGCTTCTGTTTGCCACCGTCAATTTGTATGATATTTTAATGTGCAGAATGGGATGAATCAAGCGCACAGTTTGAAATTGAGTGATGCGGCTTCAGAAGGTACTATCAGTGGGGGGACTGACTTACTGAGTTGTTGTTCTCTTGTTTGTGGAATGATGTCTCTGTTTCGTTCGGGTGCGTAGATTTCGAATTCAGCCAAGATTCCTGGAGAGTCGATGTCACCAATAAGTACTTTCGCTGCGAACACGGCCTGACTTACTGTCCGCATATGTTCTAGTGTTTCAAGACCCAGGAGTTGACAGCAATCTTCGTACGGCGGAAGGTTCACAGGGTCATTCCAAGGAAGGTGACGAAAGGCATACCGAACAAATTTCCTTTGAACAGATTCAATCCTTGCTATCCGAACTGCTTGATACGGGCACCATACTACCGAGCTGAATTCCAAGATCGATCGCACTGTGACAGGCAGGATCGCGAAACTCGTCAGCGATCTTGAAAATGAACCCGAGTTGCCTGTTAGCTTTCGCAACGATGCCCGAGTAATGAAGCTTGAATGTTAAGGCGCAGTCCAGCGTGATTCCTAGGTCACGAACATTGTCCACACGTTGCAGAAGTTGGTGATTTATCGTATATAGTTGAATGCCACTGGTTTCAGCTTGCGATGAAATGAGATAATATTACATTTTTGTACATTCAACGTGAGATAGTTTCTTGAGCACCATTCTTCGAAAGTATCGATTAGGTGCTGAAGCCGCAAGCAATCGGCGAAGCTACGAACAATCACATAGATCTTCACATCATCCGCGTAGAACGATCGGTAACCAGTTGGGAGGATCAGTCCGGCCTTATTCACAAAAATCGAGAATAGCAATGGTCCCAAGTTGCTACCTTGAGGAACACCGGAGCTGTTTGTAAAATAGTCCAATTGCTCTGATCCGATTCTAACACAAAGTTCCCGATTGAACCAACGAGTTAAATCCGAGGATACACCGAGTTTTTCAAGTTTAGCTAGCAGTATGGAGTGGTCAACCCGGTCGAATGCAGCCTTAAGATCTTTATATACAACGTCCACCTGCGCTCCAGCTTCCATACTCCTAAGACATAAATAAATGAACGGAGCTAGATTGGTTGAAACTGATCTCTTGGGATAAAAACCGTGTTGGTCAGGAGAAATGCAATTTCTGCAGTTAGAGAATAATGCGTCGTTGATGATGATTTCGAAAACTTTAGAGCAGGCCCTGAGTGATGTGATCCCTCGGTAATTTTCGACGTTTCTCTTGTCTCCTTTCTTGTAAATCGGGAACATGAATGACGATTTCCAACGCGTAGGGAACTCCCCCTGCTGTAATAAAATATTGAACAGCTTCGATAGCTCTGAACAGCATCGCTTCAGGATGCTTGAGGGGATCCCGTCAGGGCCAGCAGCATTAGAAAACTTCAGCCTCTTGATGGCGGATTCGACGAGGTCTACTGTAACCGAGGTAATCGAAAAATTGAAAGCATCACTGGGAGTGTCCCTCACCGCTTCAGCAACTTGCGACAACGAAGCCGTAGTGTCATTGAAAATGCTTTGGAAATGTTCTGCCAGAAGATTACATTTCTCAAGGGAATTGCTGGCGATTCTATCAGCCAGGTGAATTTCGACTGGTAGCCCCTCCTCGTTTCGTTTGGTATTCACGAATGACCAGAACTGCTTTGGATTAAGCCGTAAATTAACCTGCACACGCCTTGTGTAGCGCTTGTAAAGAATGCGGTTATATGTGCGATATTCGTTGCTCGCTGTTGAAAATAATCGTTTGGTGAATGGGTTACGAGTACGACAGTATTTACGGAGGGCCTTCGACCATGCGGGTTTGGGAGAGGGTCTCCTCAGTGGGACAGAATCAGTTATTGCCCGGCCAACGACCTCAGCGAAGTAGTTGACAGCTTCATCAATAGATGAACACTGTCAAGGATCTGCCAATCTGCCTGGGCAAGTGACTCAGCGCGACGAAATCTGCTCTACAAAAGTGGAGCCCATGTACATCCACAGGGGGGTTATCGTAGCGAACAGGAACAGATAGGTTGATGAAAACTTCCAACGCAGGATGATTGGTGTCGATGCCAATCAAAAGCTCTGGAGCTTCTAGAATAGAACATTCCAGTCCTGCAGCTTCGTTGATGCGTTACCAATTGTCACACATGCAACCAGATCCCGCTTATTAGGACCTTCACTAAGATGGTGTGCAACAAGTTCGCCGGAAAAGTAGCAGTTTTACAGATATGGTAGAAGAATTGATGCAACATTTGCGAGGATAGAATCCTTGGATATTTGATCAACCTGAAATATTGAAAACTTGACTGAATGCGGATTTCAAGCAACTTCCGGGACAGGATTTTTATACCGCATCAGGAAAAGGAAAGGTGACTGAAATTTTCAAAACCATCGTAGTTCCCAAAAATATCTCGTCTGGCAGGCCATTAGCACGTGTGGTCTAAAAAGCGGCATTTTATTTACTACGGGAATTATCAATTAAGAGATCTACGTCCAGGAGTGCCTGGGAAAGCGGCTGCTACCATTCCTAAAGCAACATAATAGACCTGTGCTGTTCTGGTCGGACTTGGCGAGCTGTCACTATGGGAAAAAGGCAATCGAGTGGTAAGATGCGAACAACGTGGTTGACGAGCAGCAGTTTAAATCTAACTGGCGTTCGGCGGCGAATAAGGTCGATGAGACCACTGTGCAAAATTTAATGGAAAGAGTTATGCGGAAGGCACGGCAGTTCGGATTTGGCAAACCAAAAGAAAATATTGAAAACTTTGAAGAGAATTTCATGAAGATAGTTTATCATCTTTGGAACAATTGCTAATCTACCTGCTATCTAATATTTCAGACACATGATGTTAATTGTTGGATCTCAAGATCTTTAGGAAAATTTCAGGTCAACCTGCATCCTTGAAAAAAATATAAGAGGACTTAATGGATCCAATTACAGTACATGAAACTGCGTTGAATTTGTTGTTAGCAATGTGGAAAGACAACTTGGAGGGTAAAGATACGCCTGTTGCTGTTTATCAATTTCTAGGCCCTTACTGTACAATCAAGCGCTTTGGAATTACGAGTTCTGCATATAATTGGTTTGAAAGCTATTTGTCTGACCGAACTCAACAGACTGTTTTTCATGATTCTGTTGCCAGTGCCGTCGGGAATAACCTTGGAGTGCCCCAGGGAAGTGTATTAGGGCCCCTGTTATTTATTATGTATATTAATGACTTGCGACATGTTTTAAGATTTTACGATATTAATCTTTTTGCAGATGATACTGTGTTATTTTAGAAGTTGCCGTCTCACACTTGAATGAAGATTTGCAGTATCTAAGTAGATGATTGAAGTGTAAGCAGTTAAAATTGAGTACAAGTAAAACTAGCTAAATTTATGATAATTTCGTGGAATCGAGTAAATGAGAAAGTCTCTGTTGTAATTGATGATGAGATTTGTTCGATAGCTGTACTGGTTCCCTTCAGATTACCCTCCAAAATCTCCAAACGCAGTAAAATCCGTAGGGTTGGTTGGGGTGGGATGATTAGTAACCAATCTTTATTGTGGGAGAATTTGCCACCGTTTTCGCCGGTTTATTCGTAGTACAAAAATACCAGAGTATAGATTCAACACTTAACACTTAGGCTATTTATTCTACTAAATCAACTAACAAGTACTACAAATATAACTTAGAATCAAAAAAACACACTCGACGCGACTGCTGCCCGAATTGCAAGCTAACTCCAACTCTCTCCTTTTGCAGTTTTATGTGTCGCAAAAGGCCCAAAAAACTATTGTCTTATCATTTAATTATTCGCAGGTGAATTCCTGTTGTTGTTGGTAACCGATTGGTAACCGTACTTCGAGGGGATGCTCGATGCCACTTATCTGCAACTGCAACATCCTTGCCCCCCTGAAACAACCGGGGTTTCAGTTGGTTACAGTGCCTTCAACTGTTTCTGCCTCCATGGTAATTGGTACAGGTAGAATACAGATTTTCGACACCGGTCGCTTACAGAAACCGCTAGCCGTCGACAGAGTGACGACCCTTACCACACCGTCCGATCCTGGATGAGTTTCCTCAATGCGTCCCATCCTCCATCGAATAGGGGGGATGTTTTCGTCTCGGATCACAACCAAGCTGCCAACAGTAACGTCGACAGGTGGCTGCCACCATTTAGTGCGAACCTGAAGCTGAGTAAGGTATTCAGACCTCCACCGTTTCCAAAAATCTTTGAAGTCGTCGTTGGGTGGCCTCCAGATCTTGCAATTTCCCGTACGATACCTGGGGAAAATCTTCATCCGGTAACGCTTGTAAGGCAGAGCCTACCAAAAAATGT